GTAAGAGGGAGAAGCGGGGGGAGCCCTGGCCTGGCTATGTTTCCTGGAAGGGGTGTCCCCTCCTCGAATCTGTTGGAGTGTTTACCTTCCTGCCAGTAAGGCCCCTCAGGAATACGGGCCTCTCACCATCCACCTGCTCCTTCAGGTCTGGCCTGGGTCTGCCCTCTGGCCCTTTCTTTGCTGGACTTCTCTGAGTTGAATTGAGTGACGTGCTGCCTGGAGTGAGGGAGTTTGTGGGAGGGGACCCCAGCTGTGGCTCCATGCCAAGCCTAGGTATGTTCGTTGTTAATCAGTGTCCTGGCCACTGGGCTGTGGGTCTGGCCTCTGGGGTGGCTCCTTTTGAACCTCTGGGAAGGTGGTCATTCTGGGCCTTTTTAAAATTTTTTAGTCTTTTGGCAGGGGGAATATCCTAAGACCTGCTATTTATTGGGGGATAGATTTTTCTTCTCTTCAGCTGGGTTCAGTGCCCCATGCCTGTAATGCCAACACTTTGGGAGGCCAAGGTGGGAGGATCGCTTGAGCCCAGGAGTCTGAGGCTGCAGTGAGCCATGACTACACCACTGTACTCTAGCTTGGGTGACAGAATGAGACCCTGTCTCAGAAAAAGTAAAGAAGGTGTTATTTGTAATCCTTTACATGTAAGCTGTCAAGCATCTCATATTCAGGAATATTTCACACACCAAATATAAAGTGATCAATACTTCACATACTAGGCATCTAGGAAAAGGTCCTGGGCTAGGCCTGGTGGCTCATGCCTGTAACTCCAGCACTTTGGGAGATTGAGCCAGGAGGATTGCTTGAGCCCAGGAGCTTGAGACCAGCCTGGGCAATACAGTGAGACCCCATCTCTACAAGTATCTTTAAAAATAATAATAACAAACTTTTATTTTTCTTCTCTTTTTGCTGAATGAAAAGACACACCTACCCACTTACGTATACTCACCCGAATATACAGGTACACATACCTACATATACTCACCGCTACACCTTACACATAACCCACATAGCATATGCAGGCACACACACCTACATACGCTCACCTCCATACACATATGCCCACCTACACAGACACAGACACACAGACACACACACACACAGACACACACACACACACACACACACGGAACCTTAAGGATCAGCATCTTGTTACTCCAGATTTCTAGTGATGAAATTTGAATTCAGGTCCACATGGATCTGTCCATGTGGTTTAAGCCTAAAAGCTCTATAAGGATACACTGAAATATCTCCATTCACACTGACCCCAGTCACCTTAAAGAACAGTTAGTCATTTTGTTATCCTGGATTTCTAGTGGTAAAATTTGAATTCTATAGAGTTGAAGGGGTGGGATGATGGGGAGAAGTTATGAGAAGCCACATGGGCCCCTCTGGTCTAACTCTATCAGGTCCCCGTCATGGACATTTAGGGCCCTGCCTTTGATAGGACACGGCATCCCCTTTCTCCTTCTAGGTGAGTGATTCATTGATTGAGATAGCCTCTCACTCTGTTGCCCAGGCTGGAGTACAGTGGTGCAATCATGGCTCACTGTAGCCTCAGACTCCTGGGCTTAAATGATCCTCCTTCCTCAGGACTAGCTGGGACTACAGGCATGTACCACCATGCCTGGCTAATTTTAATTTTTTTGTAGAGACAGGGTCTTGTTATTTTGCTCAGGCTGGTAGGTTGTGTTGGAGATGTCTAACACACAGACACACCTACACACATGCTTACCTGCATCCACTTACACACACACACCTATGTGCAGATACTTCACAGGCATTTTGCTCTGCCAGGGTTGATTGCCAGAAATCTTCATGAAGCTTAAATCAAGGGATTCACACCCACCTGCTGGCATAGCTGAAAAATGTCTAAGTATATATACAATTTTTTTTTTTTTGAGATGGAGTCTCAGTTGCCCAGGCTGAAGTGCAGTGGTACAATCCCAGCTCACTGTAACCTCCACCTCCCAGGCTCAAGCGATTCTCCTACCTCAGCCTCCCAAGTAGCTGGGATTATAGGCATGCACCCACACCTGGCTAATTTTTCTATTTTTAGTAGAGATGGGTTTTCGCTATGTTGGCCAGGCTGGTCTCAAACTCCTGACCTCAGGTGATCCCCCTGCCTTGGACTCCCAACGTGCTGGGATTACAGGTGTGAACCACCATGCCCAGCCTATATATGAAAAATTTTATGAATAGAGGATCTCTTCATGTAGTTTAAGCCCAAAAGCTGTACACACGGATACACTGAAATGTTCTCCCTCACACTGTCCCCAGTCACTGTTGCCTTTCCCACAGCCCTACAAGTATCCATTCCTAGAGGTAAGTCAATATTAAAACACTTCTCCCTCCTTTTTGCACAAAAGTGCCAAAGTATTCATCCCGTCCTGCTTTTGCTTGGTTTAGTTAACAATATATCTTGTAAGCCAGGTGCGGTGGCTCACATCTGTAATCTTAGCACTTTAGGAGGCCGAGGCGCGTGGATCACCTGAGGTCAGGAGTTCAAGACTAGCCTGGCCAACATGGTGAAACTCTGTCTCTACTGAAAGTATAAAAAATTAGCTGGGTGTGATGGTGCATGCCTGTAATCCCAGCTATTTGGAAGGCTAGGAGAATCGCTTAAACCTAGGAGGTGGAGGTTGCAGTGAGTCAAGATTGTACCATTGCACTTCAGCCTGGGCAACAAGAGCAAAACTTTGTCTCAACTATATATATATATGTGACATCTTTCCATATATATATTTGGACATCTTCCCATAACAGTACATAAACAGATAATGTAAATTTGGACCTCACTTTGGTCAAAGCATGTCTGTCTCCTTCCTGGCCCAGGGTCACTTTATGGGAAGCCACCTTCTGTCACCTGTTACCTTCCGTGACTCACAGTCTGCTTCTCAGTCCTCAGTTGATGGACTTCCCCACATCACATAAGTGGAATGGAGACAAGCAGCCTCATCACGTAAGTATCAGAGAAGAAAGTGATAAATAGATTCTCAGTGTACAGGCAGAGGAATTTTAAAGGACCCCATGGGGGAGAAAGGGCTGGAAATGTTTACTTGATGACTGCACCCCCGGGAATTTCACGGGTGGGTAAGAGGGAGGGAGAGAATATTCACTTAGTACTGATTGCCTGGCATGAAGCCATGTGGATGTGATACTGATTTGACAGTGATGCTAACTCAGTCTTGGGAGGGCAGTTTATTCCCGTGGGCAATGAAACCTCAGAGAAGTTAAGTAACTTACCCAAGGTTGCTCAGTGGTGCTGAGACATGAGCTGAAGTCTGTCTGACTGTGTGGTGTAGGCTCTTTCTATTTATTGTATGATGAAAAGAAGAGGCTGGTGCCACCAAAAGAGCTTAAGGCCATTGCTGGAGAGAGTGGGTGTGGTACGACCACACTGGGAGACTGTGGCAGAGTCAGCTAAAACTGGCCATGTGCTTGCTAGCATTCCCACCCCTGCGTATGCACCCAAGAGAAAGGCATGCAGATACTCACCAAACATATATACCAACATGTCCACAGCAACATAGTTCCTAATAGCTAAAAACTAGAAACTGCCCAGATGTTCATCAACAGTAGAATGGATAAATTGCAATGCACTCATACGGTGGAATACTATATAGCAATAAATAAAAGGAACGGATAATTTGCAACAACATGGATTAATCTCAAAAACGTTATGTTGGCAGAGTATGATGGCTCTTGTACTCCCAGCACTTTGGGAGGCCAAGGCAGGGGGATTGCTTGAGCCCAGGAGTTCAAAACCAGCCTGGGCAACGTGGCAAAACCCCGTCTCCACAAAAAATACAGAAATCAGCTGGGCATGGTGGCGCATGCCTATAGTCTCAGCTAGAGGGGAGGCTGAGGTGGGAGGATTGCTTGAGCACAGGAGGTTGAGGCTGCAGTGAGCTGTGATCATGCCACTGCACTCCAGCCTGAGCAACAGAGCAAGGCCCCATCTCAGAACAACAGCAACAAAAACAACCGCCCCCCCCAAAACCATTATGTTGAATTAAAGAAACAAAAAAGGGTATGTACTGTATGATTTCCTCTACGTGAAGTTCAAGAACTTGCAAAACTAATCTATTGTGTTAGAAATGAGGGGCTGGGGATGGTGGCTGGGCAGGAGTGGGATGGGGGCACTTCCTGGGGTTACAGAAGTATTCCATATCTTGGGTGGTGGTTGCATGGGCATACACACTGGTAAAAATGCATCAAGTTGTACGTAGAAGAAAGTTTCAAGAGTCTGAGAATGCCCTCTCTCCATTCTCCCTTCCAAAACATGGTTGTGTTGGCCCAGCTAATTTCCTCCTTGCAGCAGCAGAGATGACACATCAGAGAGCAGATAAAGGGAGGAGAGGCCCACTTAGGCCCCACTGGCTGCCTGGTGATAAGGAGTGACCTCAAACTCATATAGGATGTCGCTGTTTACCAGCTCCATTGCCTGTACCCCCTTATCCTCTCTGCATCTGCAGCCACGAAAGGGAGGTTGGGATTGTTCCACAGCAGAGGAAATCGAGGTTCTCAGAAGGACCTTGGGGAGGCCACACAAGGCCACTCAGCTTGGAAAGGACATGACTTCATGGGGAAGGGAGTAATCTTGGGAGGAAGCCGAGGGGGAGCCTCCAGACACACAGGCAGGGACAGGCACCAGAGGGGGCACCTCCTCCACTGTGCTGCCTCCACATAAAATAATTGCATAATGTGGGTACCATTTATGATTGACAGTTCCAAAAACCAAACTCACTCAAGACAGATGAGCGATGAAGAGCAACAGCCATTCAGAAGTGAGGAGATAATGACATACAGGGAACACAGGATATGTTCCATGCTGTGATGAAGTTTCAAAATAGACTTGACATTGATTGAAACCCACAGGGATCTTTCAGGGTGACAAATGTGGCATGCTCAGGCCAACACCCATGCCAATGGTTCCTATAAAATTCCCATTGCCTGGTAGAATTTCACAGGAGAGGAAAGTTCTTTCCTGAGCTAGGTTCTATGGAGGTTTGGTTGCATGGTTTCCTGTGGTATGAACATCAGAGACTTCAAGGTCAAGGTATTTAGTTGTGGCTTTGTGCAAACCTCAGAACTGTTTCCTCCAAGGGCCTGGGGTATTTGGCAGACACTGTCTCTTGCTGCCTTTGCTGCTGTGTGACAGGTGAGTAATATGTTTTCTCCTATTTCTTGGGAGCTGTCTGGAGTGTCTGCTCCTCCTGCAAACAAATGTAGGGGTGAAGCACTTCTGGTTTGAGTCACCTGCACTTACCAGGTCCTGTCGGGGTGAGCTCAAGGGTAATCCCAAGGTGCAGAGGGAGGTAGGCTGCTGGCTCAGTTCTTGAGAATTGCCTGTCTAATTACTGGTCTGCCACATTTAATGGTAATTACGGAAGTCTGTATTCTTTATAATGACTGGCTGGGCTGTTTGTTGAGTCTCCTTATTTGTGTAGGGCAATCAAGTCATCAACACGCAGGAAGAGTTGTTCTCTACTAAGCTGGCATCCAGGACATCTCATCTTATGTATTTAATATAAAAAAGGGGTTGTTCACTGCCCTTTTTCATACTGTTCAGCTTGAGACTGATAGATACAAAAGTCTTCTCACTTCCCGTGATTCTAGCAGTAGTTGCTTAACACTGATTTTGCCAGAACGTTCAAAGTCTGGATCTCTCTCAGGGAATGCAAAGTGTTAGACATGTTTTATTTCTGCAAACTCAGTGTTTGTGCAATTTGGATTGGGTCTTCCCTCTCCGTTTCCCTGCAGACCCAGACCTTCCCTTTTGTCTTGGATCTGCTACCATCCCATTCCCACACATGGTGGGGCACACGGGGTTGCACAGTCGTCTTTCATTTCAGTTCAAGGTCATGTGGCCACTTTATTATGCCTTGAAGCTCCTTCTTCTCATTTGTGAGCCTCCTTGCGTGTGCTTCCGCTACTTGAGCCATTGTTTCCCTTCTTTTGCTTAGATTAGTTTGGGTTAGACTTCTGTCACTTGTGATCAGTTTAGACTAATAATTTTGATTAGTAAACTCCAGGGACTGGAGTTTACATTTGATCGATCACTGGGTCTCTTTCTAATACCCCCAACTCTTGTGTCACCCCATTTTGTTAAAGCCAGTTGACATAATTCCAATTAGGGATCAGTCCACAGCTATGTTTGGGCCACCAACAGGTGCTGCTGGAAAAAAGCGGAGCCACACCTGCTGGCCAAAGTAAAGTAAAGCAAAGCAAAGCAAAGCAAAGCAAATAACAGCACTGCCTGCAGAATCTTTCCAGGGGCTTAACATATTTAAAGCAGAAGTTCTGCATCTTGCCAAATCTAATATAACCTTAGTAAATGGCACCACCGTTTGGCCCAGGGCAAACCCCTGGGTCATTATCCACTCTTCTTCTTTCACATTCCACATCTGATCATCGGCTTTGCCATCAGCAAATCTTGTTGGCTGTCCCTACAAAACACATCCTGAATCTGATGCCTTTGAGCCTCCTTCACTGCTGCTCACATCTCTGCTGTGTATTGCTGCAACAACCTCCTAAATGGGGTCCTTTTTTCCACACCTGCCCCTTTTAGCCCTTCTCTACACAGCAGCAGCGAGATCCTTTCAAAATATGAATCTAGCCACACCATTTCCCTGGTTCTTCGTAACAACCATGGTGCTAAAGATCATAGGTGATTCCCAGCATCCTATGTGATCGGTCTTCCTGGGTCGCACCTCCTCTCCACCCTCCCCTTCCCTTTTCCTTGGCTATCATCTTTTTTTTTTTGAGACGGAGTTTCGCTCTTGTTACCCAGGCTGGAGTGCAATGGCGTGATCTCGGCTCACCACAACCTCTGCCTTCTGGGTTCAGGCAATTCCTGCCTCAGCCTCCTGAGTAGCTGGGATTACAGGCACGCGCCACCATGCCCAGCTAATTTTTTTTTTTTTTGTATTTTTAGTAGAGACGGGGGTTTCACCATGTTGACCAGGATGGTCTCGATCTCTTGACCTTGTGATCCACCCGCCTCGGCCTCCCAAAGTGCTGGGATTACAGGCTTGAACCACCGCGCCCAGCTTGGCTGTCGTCTTTAACTGAAATGCTCCCCGCCCTCCAGATATTCGGGAGGCTCTTTGCTGCTGCCTTCAGATCTCTACCCAGATGTCATTTCTTTGGGAAGACTGCCTTGAGCACCCCATTTTCACAGCCTCCCGCTCTCTCTGCTCCCTCACCCTGTTTCTTCCTAATCCTTCTCTTTCTTCCATGTTTTTGTTTTGGATGTTGGTTTACGTGTTTTGTCTATTTTCCCTCAACCCCTGAATGTAAGTTCTATTTCACTTCTGCATGTCCAATGAGTCCAAAATAGTGCCTAGCACAATAGGTTATCAATAAACATTTGCAGAATGAATGAGCGAGGGATTGAAGAAGCCAAGATAAATGGTGCCAATCAGCAAACCCGGAGGACACCCCTCTCCACCATCATTTGTCAACAGACAACTTGGTCTCTTACTTCGTAGTAAAATAGAAGCCACCTGGAGGCAACTTCCTCTCCCATCAACAGGCTCCCCAGCCTTCATGCCTGTCCTTTGGGGTCTCCCTGCGGACAGCGGGAGGTGAGGCTTCTGCCTCTCCTAGGCTGACCCTCCACCTGTGCTTCCCATGATACCCGAAGTGCAGGGACGTCACCTTCTTTCCGTCTGCCATCTCTGTGTATGTCACCCTTTCTACCTGCATTTCAATATGACCACGTCTTTCCCATCAGCCACCTTTCTGTGGTCCCACCTTCCTGGGCCTCTCCTTCAGTCAAGCTGCACAGCAGCATTTTTGACACTTGGTCTGGTTGCATCCTCACTATCCTGCACTAGCAGTTCTTGGTGAGACTCTTCATGCTGCAGACGGAGGCATAGGAAGGGCTGGACTGGCTCCCCTTCTTACTGTGGCTAGGCAGGGTAGGGGGTACCTTGGCTTCCAGGATCTCTTGAAGCGAAACTACTAGGGCTGAGCCACATCCTCTGGTGCCATCTGCTGCCCAGATGGGAACACAGCCCTCTTGCTGCACCGAGAACATGTGTGTCCTGGATTCTCCGTCAGCTTTTCTGAATTAAAACGTGAAATCATGGGAGTGCCTTTAATTAATGTTGAATCAGTGAATGAAATAAGATTATAATATTCTACAGTATCATTTATTTTTGATTCTTAACAGTTTATTCTTAACAGTTGAGGGCTTATTGGCCCTCAAGATGAGCTATTTACTTTTGTTCAATCGTTCACTCATTCTTTTTTTTTTTTTTTTTTTTTTTTTTTGAGATGGAGTCTCGCTCTGTAGCCAGGCAGGAGTGCAGTGGCGCGATCTCGGCTCACCGCAACCTCCACCTCCCAGGTTCAAGCAATTCTCCTGCTTCAGCCTCCCGAGTAGCTGGGACTACAGATGTGTGCCACCACACCCAGCTTATTTTTGTATTTTTAGTAGAGATGGGGTTTCATCATGTTGGCTAGGATGTCACTCACTTTTTTGTTCATCTATCAGACTTTTAATGATTTCCTATTGTATGCCAGGCTACATGCTAAGAAAGCTTCATTATGCTTTAAGAAATACATTTACTGGCTGGGCTTGGTGGCTCACACCTGGAATCCCAGTGAAGAGGGAGACCCAGGCATCTCAGATCAACTTCCCTTTTTCATTCCTAAGACTATAAACTTCCCCTTTTCATTCCTAAGATTGTAAATGGAAGCCCTTTTCATATGTAATTCCTAAGACTGTAAACTGAGACCCTTTTCATATGTAATTCCTAAGACTGTAAATTTAGACCCTTTTCATATTGTAAGCTATGAACCTAAGATTCTTCCACGTGTAACATCTAAAGTATAAGCCTACATAAAGAAGGAACCTTCTTTTGTTAGGGGAGCTTGGATATTAGGCAAATATCCCACCTTGCTCCCGGCCAAATAGACTCCTTCCTCCAATATTCTGTGTCCAAGAGATCTCTTTCCTGAGGCCGCTGCTGCAACACCAGCACTTTGGGAGGCTGAGGCGTGCAGTCATGAGGTCAGGAGATCAAGACCATCCTGGCCAACATGGCAAAATCCTGTCTCTATTAAAAAAAAAATATTAGCAGGGCATGGTGGCACATGCCTGTAGTTCCAGCTACTCTGGAGGCTGAGCCAGGGGAATCGCTTGAACCCAGAAGGCGGAGGTTTTAGTGAGCTGAAATTGTGCCACTGCACTCCAGCCTGACAACAGAACAAGACTCCGTCTAAAAAAAAAAAAAAAAAAAAAAAGAAAAGAAAGAAAAAAAAAAGAAATAAGTTTACTAAATAAATAAGAAATGTGTCCTTAGTTTGTTTCCCAAGGGAAGCTGGACTTATGGTTGTACTTGGAATAGTTGTGTGTGTGGATTAAGTAATATGGGTGTGAGGAATAAGTCTTAGGTATGGATATCGCTTATGTGTCCTGATAAATCTGGCTTCCTCATGGGGACAAAACAAGGTCTCATTAAAAAAATTAATAAACATGTTTATTGGAAGTATAATTGTGTATAATACCCAGATCATGAGGCCAGGTGCAGTGGCTCACACCTGTAATCCCAGCACTTTGGGAGGTGGAGGCGGGTGGATCACCTGAGGTCAGGAGTTTGAGACCTTCCTGGCCAATATGGTGAAACCCCATCTACTAAAATTTTTTTTAAAAATTAATGATTTCCTTTTGTATGCCAGGCTATATGCTGGGAAAGCTTCATTATGTGGTATACACATGGATCACAAGTGTATAGCTTTATAAATTTTGAACCTACCTACATAACTGGCACCCAGATCAGGAAACAGAAGTGTCCCTTTGCCCTTCCAATCATAAGCCCACTCCTCCCAAGGGTTACCATTATCTTGACTTCTAATGCTTTAGTTTAACTTGTGCCCATTTTTATACTTCATGTTAGCATGCCCCATTTGGTTTCTTTGTCTGATTTGGTTTCTTTAGCCTGTGTCTGTGAGGTTCATCCATGCTGTTTTGTTCAAGCATTTGTTCATCTTTACTGCTGGATCGTATGCCATTGTGTGATGTGCCATGATTTGTGTATCCTTTCTCCTGGTGATGGACATTGGAATTGTTTCAAGTTTTGGGCTATTAAAAACAGTGCAGCTGGCTGGGCGAAGAGGCTCATGCCTGTAGTCCCAGCACTTTGGGAGGCCAAGGTGGGTGGATCATGAGGTCAGGAGTTTGAGACCAGCCTGGCCAATATGGTGAAAGCCTGTCTCTACTAAAAATACAAAAATTAACCGGGCGTGGTGGCATGTGCCTGTAATCCCAGCTACTCAGGAGGCTGAGGCAGAAGAATTGCTTGAACCCAGGAGGTAGAGGTTGCAGTGAGGCGAGATCAAGCCACTGCACTCCAGCCTGGGTGACAGCGAGACTCAAAAACAAAAAACAAAACAAAAAACAGTGTAGTTACCAACATTCTAGTATTAGTCTTCTGGTGAATAAACACACGTGTGTGTGTGTGTGTGTGTGTGTGTGTGTGTGTGTGTATATGCATTTCTTTTTCTTTTCTTTTTTTTTTTGAGGCGGAGTTTCACTCTTGTTACCCAGGCTGGAGTGCAATGGCGTGATCTCGGCTCACCGCAACCTCTGCCTCCTGGGTTCAGGCAATTCTCCTGCCTCAGCCTCCTGAGTAGCTGGGATTACAGGCACGTGCCACCATGCCCAGCTAATTTTTTGTATTTTTAGTAGAGACGGGGTTTCACTATGTTGACCAGGATGGTCTCGATCTCTCGACCTCGTGATCCACCCGCCTCGGCCTCCCAAAGTGCTGGGATTACAGGCTTGAGCCACCGCGCCCGGCCCTCTTTCTTTTCTTTTTTAAGATGGAGTCTCGCTCTGTCATCCAGGCTGGAGTACAGTGGCATGATCTTGGCTCACTGCAAACTCCACTTCCTGGGTTCAAGTGATTCTCTTGCCTCAGCCTCCTGAGTAGCTGGGATTACAGGTGCCTGCCTCCAGGTCCAGCTAATTTTTGTATTTTTAGTAGAGCCCAGGTTTCACCATGATGGCCAGGCTGGTCTCGAACTCCTGACCTCAAGTGATCCAGCTGCCTCAGCCTCCCAAAGTGCTGGGATTACAGGTGTGAGACACCACGACTGACCTATATATTTCCATTGGAGCTATACCTAGGAGAAGAATGGATGGGTTGCGAAGTAGGAGTGGTTTAGCTTTGGAAGTTCAAAGTATAATGGCTCCAACTTCCCACATTCCACACTAGCAGGAAGTATCAATTATTTCCTGGTTCTTCTCCAGGGGTACTGACTCTGAGTCATTATGCATCTCAGTTCTCTTCTCCCTGAGAAAATTCAGCTGAGCCTCCTTCTAGTTAATCTTATGACAGCTGATGGCTGGGGGTTCTGCAGCCCTCATTTCTATCAAAGTATCCTTGGAAGGTTCTTGGGGCCACCACGGATACCAGGACGGCTAGGACCAAGCTTCAGTTGCCAAGGATCAGTGAGCAGAGGCCCTGGGCCATTCCAGGGCTGGCTGCCAGGCCCTGTCTATTCCCAGTCGGGTTGAATTGACTTTCTGTCTCCACTCTGGTCCTCCTTGCTTTTTGTCTACACTGTTGTTTTTCCAAGAGTGGTCTCCTGACCAGCGGCATCAGCATCTCCTGGGAACTCAGTAGAAATGTAGAATATCAAGCTCCTCTTCTGACCTGAATCAGAATCTGCATTTCAACAAGATCTCCAGGTGATTTGTGTGCACATTGGGTCAATCTGTGCTAACTATAACACCTCACTAATACTGAGGCTCAGCTGTGCCTCATGCTTTTCAGACGCAGGGGTTAATAATCTCCTTACATCCCTCCCTCCCTGCCTCATCCCTCTTGTCATACATTTCTAGAGCTCACCTCCCAGGGAGAGTTTGCCCATCTTTAAGTTATTTTGCAGGCAGGTGTTAGGGCTTCCCCTCAGCCTGTGAGTGTTCCAGCGCGGGGGTGGCCTTCCATTTCTTTTCCCTATCTAGATCCTTGCTCTTCTAAGTGCTTCAGTGGATCAGCAGCATTGGCCTCACCTGGGAGCTTGTTAAAGCGTCAGAATCCCAGGCTCCATCCTCAGACCTGCTGGATCATAATGTAGGGTAGCTAAGCTCCCTATTTGGGGGCTTATGGGTTTTAGCTTTGCCCAGGAAAGAATTCAAGGGTGAGCCGGTGGTGTTAGATGGCGACTTTCACTGAAGCGGCAGTGCACAGCAGCAGCAGAGGCACTGCTCCCTGTGGGGCAGGGCTACCCCATAGGCAGTTTGCCACCCACAGGCAGTGTGCCCAGAGGAGCAACTCAGAGGCCATTCTGCAGTCATGTTTATACCGACTTTTAATTACATGCAAATTAAGGGGTGGACTTTGCAGACATTTTTAGGAAAAGGGTGGTAACTTCTGGATCGTCAGATGGTTGCCATGGAAAGGGGTGGTAAGGTTCAGGTGTTGCCATGGCCATGGTAAACTGACATGGCACACTGATGGGCATGTCTTATGGAGGGATACTTTTGTCTCTTCCCGGTTGCAGCTATTTCTCAATTTGGTGTGGAGTCCGAGCCCCACCTCTGTCAAGTCCCATCTCCTACCTCAATCAGAACCCAAGTTTTTTCAACACGAGCTCCAGGTGATTTGATTGCACAGTAAACTCTGAGATGTGCCGTTTACACCACTGGTTCCTCACCTTGGCATTAGGATCATTTGGGGAGATTTAAACAACCAACAACTCAGTGTTCCTGGCTTAACTTAGAGCAGGCATCCCCAAACTACGGCCCGTGGGCTGCATGCGGCCCCCTGAGGCCATTTATCCGGCCCACCCCCCCACTGCCGCACTTCAGGAAGGGGCACCTCTTTCATTGGTGGTCAGTGAGAGAAGCACAGTATGTGGCGGCCCTCCAACAGTCTGAGGGACAGTGAACTGGCCCCCTGTGTAAAAAGTCTGGGAACGCCTGACTTGGAGTTATGGTTCCTGCCCTTGGCTGCACACAGAATCACCTGGGAGCTTTAAAAGCCATGGGTGGATGGGTGTGATGACTCATGCCTGTAATCCTAGCACTTTGGGAGGCCGAGGCAGGCCATCTGAGGTCAGGAGTTTGAGACAAGCCTGGCCAACACGGTGAAACCCTTTCTCTGCTAAAAAATACAAAAATTAGCTGGGTGTTGTGGC